GAAAATAGTGTGAAATTTATGTGATGAAATACACACAAATTCACATCACAGTCACAGTCAGAACTTGTAAAAATACTATAGTGTAACATTTGTATGATGAAGTATGCATAAATTCACATCACATTCAATAGTCCAAACTTTATGTATAGTCATCTTATGGTCTTAAGAGCCCTTTTCGGGACACCAGGTCATAGTTAGCAAAACCGAGACATTTGACAATCCTTTAATTGATAAAATTAATTGATAATGATTGTAGAAAGTCAATGCTCCCTACTTCTACTTTGACCACCTAAACTACCAACTACGATTAGCAATATGTGGGATTGTGTGTTGTGCCATGCTAATTTACCAAACACATATTAATCAACACAAAGTACAATAACACATAATAGCAAGTTTTAATACGTTTCACCCAGCATATTTATATCACACTTTGATGATTTATTCACTAATCTCTAAGTGTGTTAAATATTAAATGATCTCAAAGAGTTTTACCATAGAGTAAGCATACACAATGAAATCTACCATAAAATAAGATAAATACATTTGGAACCATTATTACACTCATGTTGCCGGGCATGAACTCACTAACTCATGTAAAAATGAGTTTCATATTTTAACAGTAGGATAGGAAGACTAACTACAATATTCAGTGATTGGTTCTGGTTATTTGTAACTATTGTTTCTATATTGGATGAATCATTGCAATATACTAGTTCAACCTGACTGACCCCTCTCTATGAATTCCCTAATGACCATGTTACCTCTGATGATCACTCTTGCTTTCTTGATATTTCTACCATAGAACTTTCACATTCTGATTCATCATTAGGTCTCTATGGAAATACCCACCTCTATATTTACACCCTCAGGTATATAGCACAATATCAACTTCCTTTGTTACTGAATTCTGTAATTTAGCATGGTCTCATTGCTTTTACATATATGAAATACAGAAATTATGTTCATACAATAATATAGATCTATAGTTTCCAGTTAATAATATAAATGTTGTATCTCTATGTTTCAAATGTTATGCAATTAATAATTTAATCATCTGTTAGTTCAAAAATGTGATTCAAATCAATGTAAATAAACTAGTGACAAAATAAGGCTCATTTTTCAACTTACATTTATTTAACCATTTATTTCAATATATAAACTTACAATACATAACAGTAAAATAAACAACAAATGGCTTATTTTGTAATTTATATGTTTTTGAAAATGAGTAAAGAACAAAAGAGCTTGTAAGGTACAATACCAATGAGGGATGACAATGCATTATGTTGTATTGGTTTTCCAGGTTATTGTTTAACAAGAAACTCCTTCTCACATCGATTGCTCAACAATTAAAATCTTTATCCACCACTATCATGGTCTTCATTTTATCACTTTAACAAAATCAATATGTCTCGATGTAAATGGCATCCCCACTATGATTAATTCCTGTAAACACAATGCATATCTATAAACTTATCCAAAACAATCCCAATAATTATAGCAACTTTCATTGCTCACTAAAATACGATTGTTTATAGCTACCCTTCACAATCACTTTCTCTTCTTTGCATAAAGTAGTTTTTCATCTTTATTTTGTCTTTTCATCGAAGAGTACATTCACTACAAGAGTCTTATGTATACAAACAATTTATGTACGATATTCCAAGTAAAGGTTGTTCCAGCCCGGAAGTATAAAACACAGTCGGGGCCTTTAGAGTTTGCATTTTCATCTATTTTTTTATTGCAGTCTGAAGCTCTGGCTGGATATCTCATCATGATTGTAGAAAGTCAATGCTCCCTACTTCTACTTTGACCACCTAAACTACCAACTACAATTAGCAAGATGTGGGATTGTGTGTTGTGTCAAACACATATTAGTCAACACAAAGTACAATAACACATAATAGTTCAATGGATCTATGCTGATATTGGTGATAGGGGTTGAGCTAATCACAACCCAAACTTGTAATCAAAGAGGCATCGCATCCGACATTAACTTTCAGTCCTAAACTGAAGATTACAATTTGCTTATATTCAGAGGCAAAGTGGATACCATCTAGCATGCCTTACTAATTTTAGGATTGAGCTGGTCACAACTAAAAAGAAAACCCAGTCTTTACACCACACATAAACTGTTCACAATTCACCACTTGGGACGAGAAGCAAGCCTGCAATAATACTGTGGAGCAGGACTAAGTCTAAACAGTATTTCCAAGTCCTCACGTAAGGTAAAATATAATTTGGGCATGATTCCTCGGTAATACATGTTTCAAGACCCAAAATAGTTGAGTAAAAAACATATTTTTAAAATTTTTCACAAATATTTAGTCCAGACTAGAAAAAATCCAATATTTTACCAGAGGTCCCAAGACTATGTGTTTCTTGCCATTGAAGGTGATTCCAGCAACACATTATATTTATAAATATTTCAAACCAACTGATACAAATCTCACATAATACAGACATTAATGGGGATTGAAAATATTTTTTGGAGTTGGACATTTATATAGAAATGTAAAGAGTAAGCACGATTTTTAAAAAGTGGCTTAAAATCTCCCCGTGTTATTCTCATAGGTAAAACACCAAAAAACACCTCTTTGCCCTATTCTATCTATTGACTTGAGATACAGTAAATAAACATTTAGGCACACTACATTGATTTCAACTTTTGATAAAAAAAACAATAATACAGGGTAAAAATTTAAAAATCTAAAATTTATATGAGTACCATTTGGTAAATAAATTAAATGGTTCCATTTGTATGACAATGTATTATAACATAATATCAGTGTTGGTAATGGTTACAAACTCCATGCATTACTGGTATAACTTTATCATTTTAAAATGCTTATTTCTCAAAAACTGCTTGAGACCAAATCACACCATATAAACTGCACAATACAAATACAAATGGTTAAATTTAGGTACACTATGTTGGTTCCAACTTTTAAACAAAAAAAAACAATAATACAACATAAAAATCAAATAATATTTTAACATTATTTTAAATGAGTACAAATAAATCAAACAGTTATCATGAACATTTTATAAGTCTATACTTAATTCCATTATTTTAAAAGTCCATTATAAATGTTCTAAATTTATGATTTTATCACCAGAGGTATAAACTCAAAAGAATTATATTATTTTAAATGAATACAAATAAATCAAACCATTTTCATTTGTATGCCAATGCATTGTAATATAATATCAGCATTAGTAAATAAAGGTCTGCTTTATTGTTTAAAAATACTTATATCTCAAAAAGGCTTGATATACAACAAAATGGCTAAAATTCCAGCCTACATACTACATGGCCTTCTACATAATAATACAGCATAAAAAGTTTAAAAATTTAAAACCATTTACCAGTTTCTTTTGTATGTAAATGTGTTATAATATAATTTCAGCAATAGCAATGGTTTCAAACTCCATGTGTTGCCAGCACGGCACTGTCGGGGGCGTGACGATGTTCAAAAAGATGCGCCTCCTATCACTTACATGTTTGTCTAGCTTCTAATAAAAATATTTATAGTATGAAATTTATATATTAAAATTCTACATGAACTACTGTTTAATACAATATAAATATAATTTAATTTGTGCCAGTGTGTAATTATTAATTATGGAAAATATAAAAAGGTTACTTTGAGTAAACATGAAAAAGTAAGTAAGCGAGGATTTTTTTTATTTTTCGGTCAGAGAAAAACTTTCAGTGGAAGAAGTATAGATGATTAGATGTTACTCAATTTTTGTTTCAAACATTTTTTCATAAGACTTTTAGTTTGTCATCGCTGGGGATCAGAAGTGTGCCTATGGGTCGGGAGCACACCCGAGTTCGCATGCCGAGAGCCGGGTCTTTAAAAAAAGTGGTCAAAAAAAGCTCTTCATTTCCAGACATGTTTTTCAGTATTAATAACATTTTTTTACCAAAAAAGTGTCCCCATATAGCCTCTAAAACGCCAAAAATGGGGTAAAACCATCATATTATAGCTATTTGGAGTGTTTTTTCGCCAAAAAATTTAAAAGTCCTGGGTCCAAAAACGCCGAAAGTGGGGTCATATTCTGGTATTATATCTACTAATTTTTTTTTTATTTGGTGGTAATATTTTGCATAGCTTCTACCAAGTAATATGTGTCTTAAAAAAAATTTACTGCTTGATTTTTTATATGCTAAAAATACTATTTAACACGTTCGCTGCTACGGACGTTCCGGAACGTCAGCCGGGCCACGGCGCCAGGAGCTAAGAACGTTCCAGAACGTCACCGTTCATTGTTGTTTAACGTTGCTATGGATAAGCCAGCACGTCACAAGCGTTCTATATTTCTTTGCAGCTCTTGGGGACGTACTTTTCTGACAATAAAAAATATAGTTTTTCCAAATCACCACCAGGGTCGTTTGGAACAGGGCTTTGTTTTACCTCTTTCCTGCTAGATAGCGATACTACTTTAACGACTGTAACCTGGGTAGTGCTGCTATCTATCAGAATCACTTAGTACTATATCCAAAGCCAGTTGTATTGCAGAACATTGCCATCCAGTATAACTACTGTTGTTTTTATTGTAATTCAGTGTATCGGTGGCAATGTCACGCAGCGGCCGAGCGTTAGTTCAGCAACTGGCGCCGTCCCGGCATCTAGTGCTCAGCAGCGAACGTGTTAACTAAATGTTATGAAATATTCTTCCAAAGAAGTGGTGGTATGTTATCGTTAGGGGTTCAATAAAAAGCAAAGAAAAGAATTAAATGTATATAAGATTAAAATTCGGATGAGCTAAAGCAAGTAGCAAGTTGAGCTTGCAACGGAGCTGTCCAACAACTCCTTCAAATACCAAGAAATATATTTAGTCAGGCTATTAGCTCTCTCTGGCGGCACAGCCAACTTCCCCGCTCACCTTCTAATTTCCAGGAGTCACCAAGGAAAGCAATTCCTCTATAGAAGAGAGATGCTCAGAAATGAAGGTATTTTTATTTATTATTTATTTATTTATAACATTACCTGTCGGATCTGGGAACCCGGTCGTGAACACAGCCAATCTGTTATTTCCTCCGCAGGTCTTTGAATCGTCCCCGGCACATTTGCTGTTACAATCACTTTCTAGCTCCTTCTTCTCATCCGAAGGCTTGGTTTTGGAGCAGAAACATTCAAAGCTGAAATATAAGATTCATTGTTAGAAAAGGCTGTATGAATTAAATAAACTTAATGGTAAGCAAGACTCATAGCTTTAGGCTTAAGTATCAATGGTTAAAATAAATTGATTTTTGTCAATGTCAGAATAATTTTTAAAGTTTTTTAGAAGGGAACTGTCCGAACCCTGGTATTACCTGATTTTACAAAGAATGAATTAATATTTGTCAAATGACAAGTAAATAAACGAGAAATGCAGAAGAAGATAAAAATAAATTATATGATACGCTGAAATAAACCTTTTGATAAACCCAAATTAATATGTATGAATAATTTAGTTGAAAAGAACAAAAATCAAATTTGGCTTGTTTTGACTGAATTTTCTCATTTATATCCTAATATAACAATATCATAATTATTTTTTTCATTATATCTGGTAAAATAAACCTCGTCCCAAAAAGAATGGATCAAATCTACAGCTTAATATACAAGTTATTATCGAAGGGTCGTAGACAAGTGAACTATGGCCAGTTGTGGCAAGGTCCCACTAAAAAAAGGCCATGCTACAGCGCAATACTACGTCATAGTGGTTAGCTAGTTGTACTAAAATTTCACCATTAAAATCTGACAAACAGCCAGCTTATTTCCACTAGTGTGACCTCATGGATCCTGCAGCATGGCATGTTTTTCTAGTGGGACTTGGTTGTGGCATAACATGTGTCCATGCAGAAACATAATGAATTACTTTCAACTCAATTAACAGAGATCTTGTTTAACAATTTTCAACCCATGTTAGAATGAACCAAATATTTTTGCAGAGAGAGAATTATTTTTAGAGTGACGAATATCACTGTACCTGTACTGTGTGCCTGCATAAGAAAACCCTTTCCCCCGGCAATGTTCATTGCACATGTCGGGAGTGAGAGTTCCGGGGAAGTCCTGGTGGTGATCGGACATCAATCTGTTGTTTGGTCCACCATCCTCATAACAGCCCAAGTACATAACAGGAGCATCTACAATAAAAAATGTTAACTTCATAGTTCCTACTATATGTTTAAAGTATAACATTGTCTTAAATGGGAATATATTGTTGTTGATGAATGTATTTTTTTTATTGGTGTTTTTTACTTTATATTATAACACAACAACTCAGAGAGTGCTCAGTCTAAGATACAATTTTCTCTCTTAGTTTTGGATATTTACTTTTACAGATGTTATACAAAATATGCTTTAGGTATAACTTAAAAACTATAAAATATTCTTTGTACCATTTTAATTAGTCAGTCAATTTTTACCATGTTAATAACAACATCTAAAAAGTTGTAGTCTAACCTACACTAAATAAGTTACCTAGTGTTTTCTAATTAAATAGTTACAGTAAGTTACAATTCAAAACTAAGTCTAATTTTGTTTAACCATGGATTTTCTACCTCTACCCAAATAAAAATAATCTTTAAAAAGGCCAAATAATGCTTCCCAGCAATAAATTATCTTTTGTTTTAAGATAACATGACAAGACAATCAATAAACAACTATTTTGGTGTTATTTGTAGCTTAGTGTTAGCTTTCTCTGAGGTCACTTCCTTGTAAGAGTTGGTCAAGGAATTTGATTTAGTAAGTTACAATTAATATTTTATCTCTCTCTGGGTCACTATACACTTCAACATTGTCAAATCAATTAATTTGTGAGAGTAAATAAATATTTTTTATTGTATTCAATAAATTCCCCATGTATTTTTAAATACCCCGCCGCAGCAAACCTACAGACTAAGCAAATTTACTTTTGCCTGATTGGATTTACACTAAAAATTGTCCTTAAAAATATCACATTTATTATCCTTATTTAAATAGCATTAGTTTAACGAGTACAGTAGGCCTAATTAGGTTTGCTGCAACAAGGGGGTAAAAATGTGTTTTTTTGTAAACTGTTAACAGTTTACCTAGTATAAAATAAATACATTTTCCAAATATGCTCATAAACAAGAAAACTACAACAGTTTATAATGTTCTCCATAAGAATAACATGGTAATTTTAAATTTACAATATTTTTGGATTTTTCTCTGTAGCCATTTGGCACACAAAACGCTTTAATCATTTGTTTCTTTTAAGCTCTACAAAGTGGTTTGGAAATAAGTTGTTAAATTTTATGTTTTTAAGGGTTAAAAATGGGAAAACTCTGTTTTTACCCCATAAAAACCCCCCATAAACCCCTGTTCCCATAGCCCATGTGATCAGCTGGTTTGCGAACTCAAAATTTCATCAAAACCGGATGATTTTTGCTCAAGTTATAGCGCTAACGGTCACATAGGCCTATATAAATATATATACGAATTTGAACGGATGGTGTTTGGCCTCTAGGGACCTCAAAACGAAAAAGTACATCTGTCCCGGGTCCAGGCACAGAAAACATACACGTTTTATGTGGTCCAGGTACTTACCATGATACGGTAATTGCTTATTCGCTATATGGGAATTTTGCTCTAAAAAAGATATTTCTTTCACTACCGGTAGCCTTTTTGATAACCAACCATTCGTTTTAATACCATTCTGTACATAATGTAAGCTTTAAGAAAAATTGTTAGAATAACTTTCTAGAGCTACTGAAGATAAAACTGTTAGCATATACAAGTAAGTTAATAGAATCAGTTGTCGGATTTCTTATCATAGTAATAAAATCACTTACCACTAGAGGTTTCACAAATCAAACAAAATGTAATTAATGCCAGAAAAACTCGAACTGTCCTTATAATCATGTTGTTAGTTTCGATCAGGCAATAACAGAAACAGAAATCAAACCACTTCAAGTTCCGTCGGCGGCGGCGGGCGACAGCGGCTGCGGCTGCACTAAACTAAAGTTGAAAACAACTCGAACACTCAAATCCAAACAGGCAGACAAACGATATGACAATCGCTTCGGATCGGATTGATGTATGATTACTCTTTTGGTATTGCGTGATTGATGGATTGTACCTGCAATGATTTCGCGTCAACGACAGAGAAAGGTCCATCTTTTCAATATGGCATAAGGCTGTCAATTATTTTGCCTAACAACATTTCAATAACTTCTGAGCATTCCAAACTAACCTTAAATTCAATTAGATCCCACAACTTTGGACATTATTCCAAACTTATTCTAACAATTTTCATTGCATATTGTTATTTTGTTTCATGTGTAAAAGCTCAAGAGGAATTATTCTGGTTTTTAGCGAATTTCCCTACAGGGAAGTAGCTATTACCGTAGGTGGCATGGTAAGACCTAAGCCTGGGAGCGATTTACTTTTTCATTTTGATGTCCCCAGAGGCCAAAAACACCATTCGTTCAAATTTTTATATATGTATATATATTGTATATATGTGTGTGTGTCCGTGAACGCGATAACTTGAGTAATTTTTGTCCGATTTTGATGAAATTTGGTTTAAAGGTGTAAAGCGGGATAAACTTGAATGAGTTCGCGAACCAGCATGATCGGACCATAGGAACAGGGCTTTACGGGGGGTTTTATGGGGTAAAAATTGGTTTTTCTCACTTTTGACCCTCAAAACACTAATTTTCCCAATTTCTCTTTATACCTTTTTAAAGAGCTTAAAAAACAAATAATTTAGTATATAAAAGTATTTTTGTACGGTTATTGGTAACAGAGAAAATTTAAAAAATTGTAAATTTAAAATTCCTATGTTATTCTTATGGAGAATATTGTAAATGTTGTAGTTTGGTTGTTTATGGATATATTTTGATCAAACTTGGCAAACTTATTTATTTTGTACTAAGCTATTAATATTTTACCAAAAAACACACTTTATTAGTTTCCTTGTAGCAGCAAACCTAGGTACTCGACCTATAATGTTATTTAAATATATTTAATTTGAAAATCAATTCAGACAAATGGAAATTCGCTTAGTTGTCAGGTTTGCTGCGACGGGGGTATTTTCTGTTTAACTTGTTAACTATTAATCGTTATAGACATATCCTAGTGCAATTCTAACCTCTTTCCTTTTATAAATGAGTTTGAAAATGGTTCAAGTTTTTAATTTGGCTAGACACAATTAATTTGGATCACAAAGCAAAGTAAATTTGCAAGCCATATAAATTTTCTCCTATGTGTAAGCAGACATATAAAAACACTACAAGATGAGTTGGGTTAATAACTTGTAAAACTGTAGTTGTATACATATTTTGCAAAATGTGGTCGATATTATACAGCGAGAGCGAAATATGAGTTACAAATCAATCGTTATCGCATCGTATCCATCCGATTGTAGTCGAGTAGCTTTCGAATAAATAGAAACGCGAAGCCTATCGGCAAATCGAGGAAACCCAGCTGACAGCTGACGAGCTGACCCCTCACCGTAACCTTGACCACGCAAAACCGAACTCAAACAAGTCTAGCTTCTCCAAGTCTCATCAGGGAAACCCAGCAGATTTAGTTGGAATTGGTCTTTGTTTATGATCGACCCTCTCTCTACGTAAAATCCTGAATTCGGATACTATCAGTTTCAACTTCCACCTAATTCTTGAGCTTTATTCCGGTTTCCTTGTCAAGCTTCTGAATAAAGAGAAAGCCGACTTTCTTTAGCAACATTCTTCAGTATTTCTCCAAAACGTTGCATCTCATCAAACATATGAATATGATCGACACTTCGCCCCTAGTTTTGTCAATATAATTATTTAATTTTTGTATGGTGTTATTGAGAGGATTTTTACTCTTTTTAACTACATATTTTATACCAGCTCTTTTAAACATATCCAAGACGCTCAAAATTAATATTTGAGCTGTAAATACCAGTACCGGTAATAAAATATCAGCCTATAGAAATTATATATGCTTAAAGGCCGACTACTACAGTTATTTTTCCTTTTGCGTATGCATTTAACTAATAAATTATTCGGTGACAACGGTATAGTTAATTTTACTTTAGGTAACAAACTAAAAAATATCCTACTGAATAGGGCTTAAACTCAGCATGTGCACATGAAAACTAAAATCAGAGAAAACTAGTTTGCAGTTTGTGTTGAGAAACGATGAGGTTTCATTCTACCTTTTAGCAAATTTGGTTTTACCAATTAGTGTCATCAATGACAATAGAAAGCGTTAGCTAAAACCTAAAACATAGCTGTAGAAACTACAGAAAATATCAGACTATTCATTAAGTTCCTTTAATAAAATGTTTAACTTAAACAACAGATAAATTAGGTAGGCCTACTCATTGTTTTATTTAATTAGCTTTTATGGATAGCAATTAATTTGAGTAACACAAACAAAACAAAATAATGTAAACATTGCACATGAAATTAAAAAAAAATGTATAAAAATAGCGATAAAGTACTTAGACCTATCATTTTTAGAATTATGGGGTGGTAAAAATATCTTATTTGTTTTTATAAAGACATTTCAGTTTTTTATTAAGTACCTATATAAAAGACAAATACCACTCACTGACAGATGATTGCTATATCTCAAAACATATACGACCTAGAATTATCAAATTTGGTGTAGGGGGTCTCTAGTGTGGATGTGCAATAAGACGGGGTTTTATGGAAATCATAATTTAAGGGGTGTTAAAGGAATTTCCGGTGAAAATATTTTATGTAAGCCTAGCTGACTGAACCAATGTTTGGATGTTAAATCTAATGGAAAATCATTAGTGCAGAACTAAATTATCTACAACTTTTGCACTTAAAGTTCTTTTCTATTTCAAACAGGTTTTGGGTCAAATTTTTTTAAAGAAAATTGATTTTTCCTTGTGTTTATGCACCTTAAAACAAGGCAGTTCCCATAAAACTACGATTACAAAACTTTGAATTTCATCATTTCATCAAAGAGCAGCAGATTTTATAAAATAAAGATACATAAATCAATAAACAGTGGTTAAAAACATATATAGCATGAGTGCTTAGAGTGTTCTGAACGCCATACATGTATACTTTTGTGTATGAGTGAAAATTTAAAAACATACGTTTTCAGGAAAAGCACTTTTAAAAAAGATTGTTCTGTTTTTTGAAACTTTTTTTATTTTTTTAATTTCATTGACATTTGAAGTTTCATAAAATGTCCATGGTAACGCAATATCTTTGGTGATTTTTTATTAATAGAGCATCTTTGATGGAAAAACACGAAATTATGTCACGACCATCACGGACATAAAACTGAATATTAAAAATAGTTAATATTATTTTTGTAACTATGTTTTGCTATTAATTAATTTACTTTTATGACCATCATACAATAAACAGCTCACTAAGCTTTTGGTATATATGGTCTTTCTAGAAAAAAATAAAAAAAAACTCAAAAAGTTGAAAAAAAGCCAATAAAATCTTTTTAAGTTTGTATAACTCCGAAAAAACTTACCTGATACCCGAAAAATCGTTATGTTTTTATAGAGGTGTACTTCTTCTGTGTATAAAACATTGAAATATGATGATATTTTAATTTTTGAAATTTTTATGATAGAAATCATCAACGTGATGGTCAGGGACAAGCGGTACGGTCGTGAATTGTCTGAAAAAATTTAAATCTTTGTAAACAATCCTTCAACTATACTGTTAGTTATAATAAAAATATGTGTTTCAATTGAACTAAACTGTTCAATTTACAATGATATTTAAGTTATTGTCACGACCAAACACAGTATAATCATAGACAAAAAGAGTTAAATATAGACCGTCAGCCGTGCTGCGGTTACCATGGTTACCATAAGTTCCGGCGCACACAGCTGTAGTTTACGTAGCGCGTACGCTGTAACTACCGTGGCAATCCCAGCGGTGTGCGCCAGAACCAATGGTAACCGCAACACAGCTGACGGTCTATATTTAACTCTTTTTGTCTATGGTATAATCCATAAGGCTGGATTGGTCGTGAAAAAACCCGCGATGGTCGTGAAACTTTGGTCGTGACATTACGTGTTATTTGGCTCTGTTCTGGCGGTAGCCCTGCACCTCATGTTCGAGGATACAAAGTGGACTTCTAGGTTAATGTAATATAAATATCATATCAACAAAAATTAACCCCACGTCTACTTCATCAAATGACTATGTATGGTCATGGACACACCAAAATTACAAAAAACACAAAATTACCTTTATTAATCTTGTAACTACTTCTTTCAACACAAAACGACCGGCACAACAAACTTGACGTACACCCCCAACTAGTCTCTAAAACGAACTGACGCAATCGACGCCAGGCTTGCCACTGTCGTGCTCCAAAGTTGAAAATTTTTCCCAAATGGTCGTGACGCCAAATCGAGGGACAGACTTATTTTGTCATGGTAGTCAGCTTGCAATGACACTAAAATTATAATATGCTCCTTTTTTGTAAGTTTAATAACTATTGATGACATAAAAATATGGCTTGATATATTTCGGTATAAATAATTAGTCTAAAAACAGCTTGAAAGTTGGAAAATGTACCCTAGGGACACGTCATGGTCGTGAATTTCGAGACTTTAAAAATACGAAAAAAAATACCTAGAACCTATTTAAAACCAAATAAATGTGAGTAACATGTTGCCCCCGTCCCAAAAAATATTAAGATACATAATAATAAACTACAAATCCAGTATCTACGAAGTAAAAGACCAGGGACATGAAAACGTACGTTTTTAAATTTTCACTCGTATATATGTGAATAAAGTATCTTTGAATTGAGTTGAATTGAACTACGCTATTACATTTTATGAGTTGTTGCACGCTATTACTACCAAAATACGTACCGAATAAAAACCCGCAACCTCATAAAAAATGTTGGAAATGTTCTATTCTAAAACTCTATGTCAGTATTAGTTTTTGTGGTTTTTACCATTACCCAAACTCATGGTGGAAGGAAAAAACATAGGTGTGCTATTCCCACATATTCTGACGTCACTCGGATTGCAAACAAAAGATCACCTGATTGTAACTGTCAAATTAGTATATGTATTTGTTTTGATTTGGTTGTTATTGTTTTTATTATTAAAAAAACAATAACAATAAAGTCAAAACAAATACATACTAATCTGACAGTTACAATCAGGTGATCTTTTGTTTGCAATCCAAGTGACGTCAGAATTTGTGGGAATAGCACACCTATGTTTTTTCCTTCCACCATGACCCAAACTGTTGTAAAGTTGTTGTAAAATGTTGATAGTTTTTGTTAATAAGAAGAACCCTGTGTACTCATCCAATTCCCAGCTGATATTGAGGAAGATAATGCATAACAGCTGAACAGATGTTTAGTTTACATTTTAGCTCATGTCAAAACAAACTTTGCATTTGATGTGTTGTATCCTTTTGATACGGTCTCTTCAAAAAATTATAATAATGTGCTACAGCTCGACAAGAACAGAATAACTTCCCAGAACCGCCTATTAACTCAGGTAAAAAACTCAAATATAGTATCGGTAGCCCAGGAAAAAATAAAAAGAAGGGTAAAAATCAACAATATCAAATCGGTATATCAAATCAGAAGTATGCCGAGACAGTGTCAGAAAACATTATGACAAAAATTAAAGGTTTTTTTATGTTAGGGCCTAGACTGCCTAATACTTTTCAATAAAGTAATGAGAAAACCCACTGAACCATTGGCAAATTTGGTGTAATTGTATAATTAAGTGAAAGGAGATAGAACAGGAATGGTAATTTTGGTACGGTAAATCATTATAAGTGTTGTTCCAGAAAGAGTAAGTAGTTTTGTAGCTAAGTCACAACTTCAGCGGGTTCATAGTAGTAAAAACCACAAAAGTATGTCGGGCGAAGCCGACGGGCAATTCTTTATAAATATCAGTTTTGTTGATAAGGATGATACAAAAAAATTACATGTAAATTGATCATAGCTAGAAATTATTGTAAATGCAGAGCATGAAATTGCTTTATTGATTTAGTAAAGCGATGCAGATAAAAATTACCGTAGCATAAACATATCGTAATTTGTAAAGGCGTTAAAATACCTGGTACTGCCTTGTGATTCTTCTGCTCCAAGTACGGACAACTGTTTCGACGTTGACTCATTACCATTGGGTCACACAAAACTTGAACTTGAAGATTTTAACCATCTTTAAGATGGTCACAGTTCACACCATAGATGTTTTATAAATGACATAACATTGAATTAGAAGTACCTAGAACTAAAAACTTTAGACCTATGATAACAAGTGCACACATGACATGTGCCAAAACCCTGGATGATGTGTTCAAGAGCTGACCTCTTGTTTTCTGGCCAAATGGAGCCTTTTGCAGGTCCTTTTTGTCCGTGTTGATCAGTATGGTTTGAACTTTTGTTAATCTTTCCTTTTATCTCCTGATTTTGGTCAAGAAAAGCTATTCGTTTGCTTAAAGAGCCATATTCTATGATAACCACTTCTTCAATCATAAGTCAAGGCATCGAGAAGACCACTTGGTTCTTTCAGATCTCATAGTTAGGTCTAAATTTTTATGTGGAGAAGTTTCCCAAAGGAGTGTTGTTCATGGGTTCATGGGAACAACACCCCTTAAGGAAACTTCTCCACGATTGAGTTAAGCAAACCCAATTTCTTCTCAAACATACCACCAACTTCAGTTTTAACAATGCATGATCTGGAACAGTCATATTTTTCCTTTATTCACCTTGTCTGTTACTTAAATCACCTTTCTCTTCAATAACTCTTGTGTTGTGATTTTCTCTTGTCCTGTGTGAAAGACACTTTGAAAACCATTAGTTAGGTTCAGGGGGACCCAAAACGGATATATCCACTCAAAACTCACTCGAAAATTTTGACAAAACCAATATTTTCTCCATATACTATGTATATAGGGAAAAAGTGACCCAAAACCGATATATCCACTAAAAATAAAACTATAAAATTTTGACAAGTAAAACAATGCAGATAAAGACCAATGTAACCATAAACATTAAACAGAAAATCTGATTTTAATTCCAAGACCACCACAGTACTTTGCCTCTTTAAGATTCAGATAATCATTGTAGGAAGCTCCTGATTTAAATCCAGTACATAGAAACTGGGTTAATACCTACGATTAGTCTACACAGAACACTAGGTTTAAAAAAACACATTGATAATACTAACATGGCTTTATTTGTAGATGGACAAAAACGACATGAACAGTAAAATAGGAACTGATGTAAGAAGTTGCGAGGAACTATTGGAATACTTTCCGATCTTGGCGGCATATGCAACAACGTGAGCGATGTAGTTCTGTTCGTGAACTCTGTGAAACAAATGAGCTTGGGGACCTGAAAACACAACAACATTATGGTTACAAAATACTTCAATCAATATAATCATTGACTATACACAGAATAGACTTCCCATGTGATATGAAAGTTAGAAGACATGAAAATAGGTGAAGTTCAGGACAATCTCACCAGAGTTTACTAGTGTATTGTGTTGAATATTACGTCGGTTTGTCCCGTGTTAAATGTGGCCGGCCTATCAATCGTCTTATATGTTCCGTAACTTGTGTTTTTTAAATAATGAACTTTATGTGTCAACCTGTATTTATATAATGATGAAGACTTCCGTCGGATTTTTGACTAGCTTCTACATGATGTTTTGAAAAGGATTTGACAATGGGTCTTTGTACCCGAAACTAGTCATCCATTGACTAAAATAAGACTGAAGACGGACCAAGGTACGTAACCTATTATATATTTGAATATTAATTATAACCAATGCAGTACCATAGCAAACAGCTGATTGATTTATCACTTAACAGTAACACAGAATATTGCCATAGTTAGCGACCATCTCAACAGATTGCACCACGTTTTTTTTTTCTTCAAATTTTAACATTACATGAGAAGTCTAAGCATAATCATTTTGTTTTTATCCTTTTAGTATTTGTTTATAACAACAACAACAAAATTGCAAAAAAAACTGGTCGCCAATGAAAAATTGTTTTTTTTGGAAAAAGCAGAGTGGGACGCTGTTCCCACGCATTCCTGCTCCACTACACCACTGAATCATGACGAGAAACAAGACCTGAAATATGACAGACCTGTAGCATAAATTGCAACGTCTCCTCCGTCATGGCGAGCCTCCTCCTCCAACACAACGGCTTGCTGGGCATAGTCAAAGCTGGTGGTGTCCGATGAAGAGGGATCTTGGCGGCTCACGTTGCCTTCCTTCACCTAACAAACAGAGGATTGTGTAATTTCAAATCAACGTCTCCCTCTGACTCAGTATAGAGGTGGGTGTTTTAAAGTAATAGGATATTAACAGGCCCGTTTTTGACCCTGTCAGCGCCCTAATATATAACAGGGTGTCCACCAACTGGGTGGTGGCGTGAATTTTGTATTTCTACCTGGAATTGTCAATTTACCACGATCGTGCAAGACAACAGTGACGTTTCCGTGACCGCAGAGACGATAATATGTCTATACACGGCCACGAGGGATGATCAGTATTATGCCGCGATCGCGCACGATGATAATAATGTCCACATGGTCGCGGGAAAAGATAAGAATTTTACGAAAGACGATGATCTCCATCATGACCGCGGTAGATGATTACCATTTTTCCGCAATCGCGGGAGGCGATTACTATATCCACACATGTGTCCACACGACCGTGGAAAATAGTCAGTATTTTGCCGAATTGCGGGTGACGATTACAATGTCTACACGGCCGCAAGGGATTATTAGAAGTTAACTGCGTTCGCTTGCAAATACAACCACCATTTTCAATTTGGCAGTATGATAGGGGATATGCCTGATCAAAAGTCCCCGGTGATTTGTAAATAATTGTACAAATTGTTCCAAGGTTTCCTAGCCTTCTCGTGGCGGAACTGGATATGCCATCAGTTTACGGCTAACTGACTGGCAAACAAACATTACTTAATCAATTTTCATTATTGTCGGGACCACATAAGTTTGCAGTTGAGGGAGGAGCCTATTTACCATATGGTTTTGAATGAACCAATAAGAACTGTGGGGTGTTGCCAAATCTAATAATAACAGCTGATTTCAAAATATTGCTTTGTATATTTAATTAGTGTTGTCAATGGGCGATGTGGCAACGTCGCACTAGACTTGTCTTGTGATTGGCTACTACCAACTGCAAACTTACGTGGTCCCGACTATAAGTGTGTTTATTTTATAGTGTACATATGAAATAGCATCTGGATGCCTCAATAATGAAGATTGCATTAATTAAAAATTAACTTTTGTACCTCGTACTGGAAATTGTCTTTTCCTCCGCTTGCATACAGCAATGTTGTGAATGAGATGCCATCTTGTTTGGACACTTGAGATAAACCTAAAGAAAACATAGTAGAGAGGTAACTAAAACACGAGAGCAAATATAAACATAAATTTTTTACTAAAGATTTACTTTTGTCTGGTGTGAAAGAAAAACTGCCAAAAGGGTTTGATTGACATTTATTTGACAAGCTTGCATAAATAAATACCTTTACTTGGGGAAAAATACGCTTGTTGAATCATAATAGACTTGTTTAGTAATATCCAATGTTTATTAAAATAAAAGATAGCTTTACTTTCAGCTAAGTGTAAACAGTATATATATAATTATTCCAGAATTACAGAAGAACTTCTAATAAATTTGATAAATATTTATGGTGCATCCTATTTTTAGGTACATACTAGCTTGTACACAGCTGGATTCAGCCTAGACAACCAAGAAATTTGCATTCTAATAATCAATCCCTACATGACAAAATAAGTGTTTCATTACAGCCTTAAACGTATTTGAAAGTCTGTCTTCTTTTCCATTAAAACATCAAATGCTCAGATAGGAACCTATTCATGATGAAAGCCAGATATTAGTTAGATCTGAAGAGTGTACCGTACCAAGGATGTTGTTGCCTCGGGGAGGGTTGCCGTTGATGGCGAGAGAGTGAGAGTGGTCGCTGGTGACGATCACCAATGTGTCGAGCAAGACTCCTCTCTCAGCCAGTAGGTCCAGTGACGCCTGAACAGCTGACTCCAGAGCCACTGTCTCGTCCAAAGCTGCTCTGGCCCGACCACGGTGATGAGAGTAGTCTATCATGCCACCTTCCACCTTTTAAATGCAATATCAATTTGTGTTCAGTATTTAAAAGGCCAGCTGATCATATGTGTGAGAGAGAGAAAGAGCATATTTAAATCCCCACATGGCCACAACAATTGATTGATACAAATTTGAAAATATAAACATTCTAGTTAAAAGTGCAATGTCTTTTACCTTCCTCATGTTTTGTCTACCTATTTTCACTTTTCCCCTCTTACATTATTACATTCAAAACTCTATCTTTGTATAATCAATTGACCGCTTTATTTTCAACTCAAATTGTGTGTGTGTAATTCAAAAACTCTAAAACTGTCATTTTGAAGATTGGTTCATCAGAAGAAACACAAGTTACTTGTAGGCCTACATCATCTAGACCTTCCAGAACTTCATGTGTGGTAACCATGACTAAATTCAAAATCAAACCAAAAGTCCATCATTTTAATTTTCTATTTTTTTGCAAAATTAAATAATTATAATAACCCCATATATACAGTCCACTTTATTATTTCTAAAATAACCTTTAGAATACGCTACAATTTGTATAATTCTCACTAAATACTCTATAATGAGTATTAATACTCAATAATCAGTTCCATAACATTGAGGGCGAAGATACCAAGCAATACTGCAATGTATATACAAATAGTCTGTACAAATGTAAAATTCCTATAGATCCGATAGCTAAACTGAAATAAACCCAAAGATCTGAAGATAGAACTGTTTGCACAGCACCAAGATTTTAAGAATATTGTACAGCGCTGATGGAATTTCAAAATATTCACTCAGGTCCGATAGAAATCAAAAAATGATTTAAGTCCAACAAATGGATGGTGGGAGCCAGGTTGTGCGCAAACTTGTCTTAAATAGGCCTGACGAACCCTACCCTTCACAGCTGTTTTTCACTGATCTCATACACGTTACCTAACAACGTTAAACACAATGTTAAACAGTTACTTTGCTAACCCAATTTATCGCCTGACTGTGTTACTGTTCGGTGGTAAACAAACACATTGTTCAAAACTGGACTGAGCTGCCCTCAAACTAATAAATGACCCTTGTTAAGAAACCAGCAAGTGTTAGTCAGTAAATAAGCTATCAATTATCAATTATTTAAGATGGGGACACCACTTTGTGCGTATTTTAACCCAAATATGAGTAAAAAGATGAGTGTAGGATGAGTGGCGCGATCTTGTAGTCTTGTTAGTTTTGTTAGTGATTAAGGCCGACATATTCTTTAGACAAAGCTGTTAATTAATAGCCCATACAGCTAATGGCAACTAAGGGACCTACAATTTATAGCGGAATCCGAACCACGTTTTTTTCCTTGTAATTAATGAATATTTGTCTGATTATCAGTATAGTGCTGTAGATAGTCGTAGTACTCATTAGTACAAAACAAAAATTCCCTCTGAATTCCCTGATGATTGCAATTGACTTATACCACTTTGCCCACAAATACAACCAGAAAAGTTTTATCCGTTGGTACCAACTACTTGAGTTTAAAAAAATATGACTTATACTACTATGGATCTCATGGGCTTATTTAAAGGGTGTTGTAGATAGGTTGTTTAACATTTTTGTCAATAAGCTTGACAATAAATTATGGTCACATATCACCGGGTTGAATATATCCATTCTATAGAGCTACCATATCACAATTACACACCACTAACAAAAATCCTTTTTCACTTTTAAGAAGTACTTTGAGTGCTGTCTCAGTCATCTGGGTCAATGAAGGCATCCCTGCTGATGTCTTGTCTCTTTCATAGTCCATCTTCATGTGTCCGTTGGCAAAGAGTCCTGAAACAGGTGAACAATCAGCAACAACCAAGCACTAGTATAAGATCTCTAATTACTTGCTTTTATTTGGTTTAACCTATGTTTGAACACAGTGTACGATTAAGAACTGTGATTGCATTTGTATATAGTTTACACATAGTTTTTCTATGCATAATTTCTTAGTGATAAACATGCTCATTAAAACAACCCTTCCTGAAATACAGATCGATTAATAATTAGTTTAATTTATTTACCGAGAACATAGTCCACATTGTTGGGATCCAAGCGAGTCAGATCGTCTGTGTTTGTGAGGTAGCTGTGGCTGAGCCCAAGCTGTTGTTTGTGTTTGACCCATGTTTGTACCAAGTCTCGATTGTCGCCTCGGCTACATGCCCACGTGTCTCGGGGGTCTTGAGGCGTCACTGATGAGTTAGTCATGAGACACTGCCTACCTCCTCCCATGATCACCTGTTTCAAAAGTTAACATATTACGGATTGAGTTACGTGGAGGGCTGTATTTTTTGCATGTAATTGCAAAAATAAATTATGTACATACATAACTTTTCATTATTTTAGTTTATTTACTACTACTGTACTTAAATCCTTTCTGAGGTGCTTGATTAAACTTACTAAATATTTCTTTGTTTGTTTGAAATAAATAGTATCCAGATATTAATCTTGCTATAATATGACAAAATATAAAAATTATTTAGTCTAAGAATGATTTATTTCACTTACTGGCTTACCCATTGTTTTGCTGGATAAGTTCCAGTCTATGTGGACTTAAAAATGCTAGGATAAAAGAGGATCAGAAGCTCTATAAAACAATTATTTAAAACTAGTGGCCTGTATGGGCCATTGCTCCTAATTTAGACACAATTGTCCATATGAAGGCAACTCCCCATTTCGCGATAGTACCTAAGTCAGAAAAATATATCTATGAACTTGTCCCTGAATTTTAAAACAGGAAGGCCCATTTCCCTGGAATCTCTTTTTGTGTAGCGGAAAGCGACGCAAAAGCCATTGCACTGTTGTATTGCCTTATACTTTTTATGAAGTTAGAATCATGTAAAAACATGACTTTTAGTTCGTAATTTAATTGTGGTTGTAGCATGTTAAATAGTCCATAATGGCAACATAAATGTCCATTTGTGGCCTCCTCTGCGAAGTCAAATGCGCCACAATGCATGCAAGTGCTAAGAGGACCTAATAGATTGTGAAAAACAACACTCAACTCCTTTTCCAGCGTTCTTCTGAAGGCAGGTTGAAAACCAGCTTGTGGATTTTCATATTTAGGCCTTACTAGTGTCCCTGTTGCTCAAAATCGAGCAATTTCTAAGTATTACAGGCGTTATTTTAAAACAAATAACAGTAATAATTTTTGATGACTTTAAAAGATTCGACTCAAAGATTATGGAATACTCAAGATGTACATAACAGATCGATATAATCAACATTTTTTGTAAAAATATCTTATCATTTTTCAAAAGCAGATTTTTTGTAGTGTTTTCTACATATAGCCTTACTCATAGCCCCATTAGGTTGTCCATAATAACGATTATATATAAAAAAAAAACACACATTATTTCTATTTCTTCTCCTTGGTGGTGTTTTATGACTTTTTTATGATTCCATAGTTTGCAAATCGGCTCTTTCAATGATTACTAAGAAATGCAGCACAGTGTTAATTCAGTTTTATTTTTAGTATAACCATTTATCCAGGCTCTCTCGTTTTTTCCATTGTAATATTTACGCCAACCCAAATTCAAATAGTAACTATTTCATTTCAACCAAGTAAGTAAATGTTTGTAGCGACTGTGTTTACAATTAACATATGTCCTTCTTCTCACTTTTAATTTCTGACAACAGCTGGAGTTTCATAACAATATTTGTTTCCCATGTTAATCTTATGGAGAAATACAAAACTGTAAAGGGCCCCAGGGCCTCACTCTCTAATTACTTCCCTAAAAAGAAAGTTTCCTGCACAACTTCACGGTACGCTCCAAATGCGCATCAGGTATAAAAAACCAACAAGAACTTCAAGGCAAGAAAAACCAAAAAGGTAATTGATTAAAACTGTTCTTGAAACTGGGTTATATCATAAATTAAGCATTTTAGGATTGCAGATACATTAATCTAATCGTCATAAACAGTTCCCATACTCTGGACAGCTCGCCTTGACTACTTCCTTCACCACATCCTACGTCTCGGACCTGTTTCCCTCCCTTCCCTTAGCATTATTGGATTGCAAATACCTTAATCTATTGGTCATAAACAGTTCCCACACTCCGATCAACTCGCCTTCACTACTTCCTTCACCACTTCCTACGTCGCGGACCCATTTTCCTCCCTTCCCATAGCATTTTAGGAATGCAGATACCTTAATCTAATTATCATAAACAGTTTCCACACTCCAGACAGCTTGCCTTGACTACTTCCTTCACTACTTCCTACGTCGCGGACCCGTTTTCCTCCCTAGAATTTTAGGAATGTGGATACCTAATCTAATCGTCATAAACAGTTTCCACACTCCAGACAGCTCGCCTTGACTACTTCCTTCACCACTTCCTACGTTGCGGACCTGTTTTCCTCCATTCCCATAGAATTTTAGGAATGCTGATACCTAAATCTAATCGTCATAAACAGTTTCCACACTCCAGACTGCTCACCTTTACTACTTTCTTCACCACTTCCTACGTCACGGACCTCAAGCTAGTGTCGTCATTTGATTATATTTATGATCCATACTGTTCCTGTTCTAATATCTGTGAATTAATGCCATCAGTTATTTCTTTATCTACTACATTCAAAAGTCAACAGCTGATCATATGTCTTTGTTTATGTGTCAAATACTGCTTCCATAAGGATTACATTGAAACTTTGAGACCCAGTGGGGCGGATTCCTGAGAGACTTTTTTAACGCCATATAGATGTTGGCACTCACCGATATGGTCTTTATCACTATGCAAAATTTGAAAACGATTGATTCAGCCGTCTAGGAGGAGTTTGCGTATTACGAAATGCATAAGAGTCGACGTATAAGAGCTTCGCTCAATAAGTATATAGATAGATGACGTTCTCTTTCAGCATTTCTTGTGTTAGTTGAATTCCTGGATACTCTTCCAAGTCTTGCAGGTCTTCCCCTACCCTGTCTAGTTACTTCACTCATTATAAAAACGGACAACAAAAAAATTAAACGAATACATTTCATTTTGAAACATTATTTAACAACATTGACTTTCGGAATAAATGTAAACATCACAAATAAATAAGCAACAGCTGTTTAGAATGCAGACGTTTTTCAGTCCCCATGCTTTTCTTATGGTTGATATTTTACGTTATATCTCGTTTTCTGGTAACTTTATGGGAATTCTGCTATTTTTCCCGAGTCCCTGGGGTCAAGACCTTTAATTTAAGACCCCTCCCACCTTTCTGCGACTTACCAGACGTCCACAATTTGCTGGTAAAAATTTTGTCTTACAGAATTATATATAAGGAAATTAATACAATTGAAATACTGACAAAGACCAAAATTGATTGGCTTCAAGTTTTGTCATTTAAATCGATTTTAAATATGGTACATCAATTGTTCATTAAAACTTTCCACTTAGCATGTAATGCTTTTAAATAAGGTACCTGATTCCCTGGTACCTATGTAATTATAACAGTTTATAAGTATATTTTTCTCAAATGAGTAACATTACCTTTAAGTTCTTGCCAGGTTCATCCTCTACTAACTGGCGAGCAATGTCTTTACAATCGGAGGCGGAGGACGGCATCTTAGTGTCACATTCCCACTTCCTGTTGGGGCAGTGAGCGTAGAGAGCGCTGGGCGTCGCATGGGTCACTCTGGTTGTAGTTACAAAACCTGTACCAATAAATTTATAAATTTATTTAATTTATAAATGTATAGCTACCAAATTTATGAGCATAGTAAACAAATCTGGATCCGACAGCATACTTAACATGCTTTAAAGGAAGATTTTATGATCTCTGTCTTTTTCAGAACCATCTATTAAATAAAAATAAACTCCAGCTGATCTGGTAACCCTGGCAGAGAATCGAAAACACATCACGTAAAATACTTGGAAAAATCCATTCCCCAGCCACAGTCACTCTATGGCCCTTACACCCTTCTAAGTGTGTATACTCTATAGGTGTCACAATACTGGCAAAATGTGCATCAATAACTAAAGTCAACATTAAAAACAAAAGGGAACTGATTTAAAAAAGATCACAATGCTGCGTATTACCTGAATATGAGTGAAATATAATGAGTATAGAATGGAGTGAGACGTATTTGCTAGTTTTGTTACTGACTAAGACCAGATTTCTTTAGCCAGGACTATTCTTTAAAACACTAATGATCAAGACCAACTCCATAGTTTTAAACCATCACCAACTTTACAGGTACTCATTTCAATCACACACGTACAAAGAACGTTGAGTAGTAAGTTATAAGACTTTAACTTTAAATGAGAACATAGGGCTCTGCTTTGCAAACGAGACAAGTTAAAAATACTTTGGCTATCATTCAAGTAGTCTAAAAAGTATAACAATCTTAAAGGTTACCAGTGCATTAATCTACCTGTGTATCATGTATCTGTGTGTCTTTAAGAGTCCAAGAAACTATTGTTTATTATTGACCATGTCTACTGCTAATGACAAGAATGCTAAGAAATGGTTTTATATTTCAATCAAATTTGAAAAAATATTTTTTGGAAATAAAAAATACTTTGACTTTGACAATAAAATTGATTGTTTATAGTGAACACAGATTTGTGAATTTTGAGTAATGAGCAGAGGAAGATTGATTTTCAGATCCTTATTTTTGAAAAGTACCTATAAAAAGATCTTACATATCTGAAAGTACTATCTGGGAGGTTTAAGATAAGCCTAACGACTATAGACAGTAAAACTTTTTCCGTTTCAACTCTTGAGTTTTTTGTTTTGCTTCATGGGCATGACTATTGTAGGGATTCCTTTACAGTAATTAAATGCAGGTTAAAGCTTGAATTGAACTAGAATCACATTACTAAGAGAACACAATTAACTTACCCTGTACATTTACAATTACCCTGTACCCGGTACATGGTTTTCCTCTTAGCTAACGAAATAACAGAGTTGCTGAAAAGATATAGTGTCTTGCCTTCTAAACAGGTAAGATCCCGTTAAAAGTCAGTAGCTTTTTTAGGTTTTGGAACTTGACACAACTGTACACAATTATCATTAAGTTATTCAGTTGATGTCATGTCAATCTTTATAATCATGTCAATAGTATTGGTAGTAGTTTTCTCTCACTGCTAACTTTAATCAAAAACTGCTCCTTTTACCGCTTTTGATTCATGCTTCGTTTGCTAAGTTCCACACACACTAAATTCAATGATAGGGCAAGAACGCAATCCAAATGTCAGTCAGTCTTAAGAAAACCGAAATTTGTAAATTATTGTAGGCTATACATTCCATATTAGTTGTCTGAAACAACTTTCGTATTAACCTGTTGTTTGCAATGTTAGTGTTCAATTCTAGAAAGTCCAGAGTTCAAGTTTATCAGTTTTAAAATAGTATATGTTCTGATAAATGTTCTAACCTCCTACTTCAAGACACAGCATTTTTAAGTCCTATTACTACCAACCTGTGCTTTTCCCCGCTGCTTGTGCCCAATCCACGATGGTGCTGAGCCTGTGTTTAGGATCAAGAGAAGACTTGCAGTCGTCCAATGTTACAGCTGCGCTCACACCAACCGTTTCAAAATTGTTCTTCACTCCAGAGAATATTGCAGTTGCAGTACTGGCTGAATCAGGAACTTGCTTGTCCACACAGTAAGTCTACAAAAGGAGAAGTATTAATGTTCTGGAAAACTGTTATCTGGGTTGTACTATATTTGGTTGAAATTGTGATTTAAAATAGTGAACTAAAACAGTTTTACAGATCCAAGAACACTGTACATTTAAAATTCCCATATGTTATTATTGTTATGGGGAAAAGGGAAACTGGCGTATGGCAAATGTATATCCTTTATTCTATACAATCAACATTTTATCAAAAATCCCTTATTATTCCCTTTTCAGCAAACCTAAGTACTCATTAAATCTAATGTTATTTAAATGGGAAATATATATGACTTGTTTATGGAAATATTTTAGTCAAAATCTATTAAGACAATAATTTTAAATTAGCTTAGTCTGCAGGTTTGCTGTGTCAGGAATATTTTTTATCTCAGATCAGCTATGCGATTAATTAACAAAAGGTAAGTAAGCTATATGTGCAAACATTTACTACAAAAATCATTTTTACATTAAAAGGTAATTAAACCATTATTATTTACAACAAGTGATTCGGAGGCTAGCAACATGAAATAAAATCAGCAATCAGCTGATACTTCGACAAAGATCATAACTTTGTTAAAACTTCTAAAAATCAAAGACAGTTTTTGGTCCAGTGTGATACCACCAAAAAACTGTTGTCAGCATTTGCTTCAACTTCGCTGCTCTCCAACTGTTCATAAACAACTTTGAATGTAAAAACATATTCAAAACAACCTACTATAACCATCTGAAACACAGGATTGGAACAAAAATCAACAAAGAATGATGAAACATGACTCATCAACGACTGATGATATTGGAATTCAAAGGATCCATTAATCAATTGGAGATGAATGATATCAAATTTACGGCCGGTCTCATAACCTTGGCACGACTTCTGAATAACAATCAACCACTTGTACGTCCATTTATGATCTCTAAACTGCATATCTTGTTTACAACACGGAGTTAACTACTGACCTATATTTAAAAACCAAAGAAATTCATAAACTACCTTTATCAGTCCTATATGTGGAAAATTTTCAAAAACTAAACTAGAGTTCTCCAGGGACTTGTAGATGCGGGCTGCAGTGATGGTGTTGGGTCCCATTCCATCCCCAACAAACAACAAGACATTCTTCGCAACCCCTTCATTCCGTTGGGTTTTCAGCGCTTCGTCAAGTTCCCTCTGGCCTTTTTGGAACCAAAACTCCTGGTCTGGAACAAGTTTCTCAAATTATAAACACACTTCTGAAGTGTACTAAGCCTAACGTTGATATAGATATTATAACAGGTTGTTTTCCTTTTGTACATAGTTTTGGATTATCTGATTATATAAAAAGAGGGCAAACTGCACTTGTGGCAAGGCATAAGCTCAAAATTGTGGAAAAGTATTTTTCATAAATTTTTGCTGTAGCAACCCAATTTTAAATTATTTAAACGATTACAGTTTTTAACTTTTGCCATTACATCAGTATAGGGATAGGGGTAGTTTTTCAAAATAGTAATGCTAATGTGTTCCAAAGAGTTATTGTACATAAATGCAGAGAAATTATAAATCAGAGTGGAACATTATACCTAACCCCTGTGGAGTTCCTCAGGGCTCCATTCTTGGCCCTTGATTATTTATTTTATGGTGTTAATGATCTATGCAATGCTACTAAGATGCCCACCTTTTAAAAAGCTCCTAATGTGTACAGGTCAAAACAATCAGTTCATACAATAGGCCTACTTGAATTTTTACAGATGTTTATGTCATTAATTGTTGTCTTTTTTAATTGTTATTAATAGCTCAAGAAGAAGAGACAGTGAAGGACTCATAAAACTGCATGCTACTGATTCAAACTGGCAAAACTGTATAGTATAAGAAACAATATTTTTAGTGCATTTGTGGTTTTGCACTTTGAAACCTTTGAACCTGTATTGGTAATTCATTGGTCGAAAAAAAAAGAAAAAAAACTGGAATTGATTTCAAAAAAATTGTGTTCATAGAGATTTTTGAGAAGTAGGTAACAACAATACCAAAAAAATTATAATTCAAATAAATTGTAGTTGTATGCAACATAATGTAATGAAGAAAATGAAAATTAAATGGTTATTGTTATTTACACAATCTTGCTAGAAATGAAATAAATATAGAACAAAAAAGTGAACATAATAAAAATGCACCTTTTTAACTAACACATTAAAATATACAGATAGAGTATCTAGTAAAACTTGCCATTAATACTAGGTACAGTATATTCTAATCTAAATGAAGGCAGATAAGGAACAGAACCAACATAAATGTTCATTAAGATGGTTCCTGTTGTGTGGATAGCTCAGAGACTACATAACTTATCAATATCATCACTAAGTACGCAAGGTCAAAGTCCACAACACAAACTGTAAAAGAACTAAAGTAACTCACCTTCAATAGTTGTAACTATGCAGACGAGTTGAGCTACTAAACTCAGAGCGAGCTGGTGTCGCATTCTACCTACACCTACACCAATACGACGCACAATGAATCGCTCTCGTTCGCACAGTCAAGCCGACAAAGAATAACTGTTACTAACTTAACTGTTTCTAAACAGCTGACTTGCCAAAGCCACCGGAAACTGGCCTCAACCTCAACTCAGCTATTTCCTTTGAATCCCCCTCCCGCCATTTTGTGTCACCGTACTCCCGTTCCCGAATCCCGACTCCAGTCAACTAACCTCAAAAATTTAAATTACCAGCTTGCCCGCACGTAATTGAGTAATTGACTATTACGTAACTGTCACGCAGCACGTTTCCTTTTTGTTGGGTGTTTTATGCAACTACATTACTGTATCAGTTTAGTAGTAGCTTCAAAACTAGATTGACGGTGGAAAACTTATTTGAAAAAACTAAATACCGTACCAAACAGTTATAGGTCCCTTCAAAAGTAACAATATTTTCCCCAGGGAAGTCACAATACACGTGTTAACTTAAACTTAGTTAACATTTTTTCATAAGTCAACCAACGACCACTATTCAAAAACGAGGATTCGATAGATTTTTTCTATTTCAGTAATAAGTTGGTTTAATTTTTTAATTCAGTTTTTGCAAAGACTGGCGTATGACAATTTTGGCAGGTCTTGTATTTTATCGATTGTACTAACTGAAAAGTTGCAAGGAGTTACGGTTAGTTCAATATAAGTTATTTCTAGTAAATTTCTGACTCATCATTCCCTGAATGTGCAGACCAAGCATCAAGTCTGAATCAACTAAATATTTTAAGTACTGACTAGTGACTAATGATGTGTCTTAACATTATATAACGATTGCAGAATACCAAAATATTGGGAATCAAAAAAGTCCTTAATAATTTCACTATGTTATTTTAATATATCCCGATAGAACTATACTAGATAGTCTTGTTTTAAAAAAATACGGAATTTTTATACTTTCAAATTTCAATGTGTTATTTTGGCTTTTTCATGCTCTAGTTTTACGTACAAATTCTTTTAAAGATACGGTACTTATTTGAAATAAATGTAACTGTATATAGTATACTGTGGTTATAAAATTGATAGGTATTTAGGTACCAATTTATTTCTCAAAAGGATCGTTCGATTTTTTTGTAAGCCAACTTGTTTTACTTTTTGGAAAATAATAAAATTTATTATTTACCGAAGCTACTAATCCCAGTAGAAGCATAAGAATAACTTAATTGTGTTTTTAAAATGTTTTAGCTAATATCTTCTTAGTTACTAAAATTTACAACAGGTTATTAACACAATATTGCAGTATAAATTTTTATTTAAAAATATCATAGTTCTGAGAGCCGGACACAGAATGCGCAAGTGTCACAAATTCTATTTGTTGCCTTATTTTTTGTTGCTGATTAAGTTCATGAGTAAATATAGACCGTCAGCTGCACTACGGTTACCATAGGTTCTGGCACACACCGCTGGGAGCGCCATGTAGTTACGGCGTGGTCCCATGTAGCACAGATGGTTGGGCCAACGTTGGTAAATTGTGGAGCCACACAGTTGGCCAACGGTAGAAATGTCACCTCTTTAAACTGTTTTCCAGCCAACCATTGACCAACCGTTTTATTTCACACAAAATAATAAAGATTTAGTACGAAAAGCATAATTATTAGTTGAGTAAATTGATTAAATAGTTCATAAAAACAAATTTTGAAAAAAAGCTAGAACAAAATTTTTGGCCCAGACGGGTCTTGAACCCGGGTCCTTCGACTTATGAGCCTCTTACTTTACCACTGAGCTATCTGTGATTGTTGATATAGAGAGTTTTCAAGTGGTGAAAGAGTAGCCGACAGTTGCAATGGTCGCAATACTTCAAACATTTTTGATACTACACAGTATAATTGATTCTGTTAATCTGTTAAGGCATCATAAGTAATTTTTTTTTTTTTTTTTGGAGTTAGAGAGAATACTGGTATTTGAATATAGATTAATTAATTACTGTTAGATTATTAATGCTATTATAATTGCCTGTTATATGATTAATTACTCTTTCCCCTTAAATTGTTGCAAATAAGTTAAAGAAAATTAATTTAAAAAATATTTGCATTATTATAATTATTAAAATTCATTGTTGTAGCCCCGGAACTGTAATATATAAAATATCTGGTTTTACAATACCTTTATCAGTTCCAAAAACTTTTGGAAACTTTTGGAACTGATAAAGGTATTGTAAAACCAGATATTTTATTATAATTATGTTGTGAAAGCTAGACCCAGAGAATGAAAGTCGTGTAAACTCAACTATGGACCATCGTTGGTCCAACAAAAGTATCTTTTGTTGGTCCAACGGAGTGAAAAACGGTTGGACAACGGTTGGCTTGATGTATGATACCCAGAAATGCATATTAATGTATTTCATTAACAATGAACCAATGTTGGTCCACAGTTGTAAATATTGGTTGGCCCAACTACGAGATATACAGTTGGACAACGGTTGGTTGGTTGTGGAAGCTCCAACCAACCATCGACCAACTGTCCCACAGTTGGCCAACGTTGGCCCAACCATCTGTGCTACATGGGGTGTAGGCGCTACGTAAGCACCGTGGCACCTAGACGGGAGCATGCACGACAACCACTGGGTAAACACCTGTACGACAACACTAAAGAAAGATAAATGTCTTTTGGCAGGGTGGCACTTGTTGATGTGTCACCTAGTTGCACACCCAAAACCACACTTTACTTAGTGTGGTCTTGGCAACCCCTTCGTATACATGTAAGGAGGTGATGGGGTGTCGTTGTCGAAGTGGAACGTTGTCGGGGTGGCATTTTGTCAGGAGCAAGCTCGCCATTTCATTAAATGGTCCTCTACCATTAAAAACAATATTTAACAGTAAAACGGTAAAACACTCTTCTAAATGAAATGCATAGATTCTACATTTATGCGTTGAATTATTCTTTTGGAGTTACGCAACTATTGCAAGTACCCCTACCTAAATTTATCGTTAGTGTAATGCTCTTTATTACTGTACATTCTATATAGGTTTTGTTTTATTTATAAATCTAAAAGAGATATTACTGCCACTGTCTTAGTGTCCGCGCACTTTGGAATTCCAAATAATGGATATGGAAGCCAATTTTTTTAGAGCAGAATATGACTTCTCGAAATTGTGACGGTTTGGGGAAATATTTGCCACGATATTAAACAGCCTTTTTCTTTTTGCGTGGTAAATTTTATGTATTAGGGTTGAACGGTTTACCATTGAGTATTGGATACGGTTCGTCAAAGGTTAAATATTGTATCATAATCTAACCAACACAAGTAGACTTCTCATCCCATTAAATTTTGAAGCTCGTTTTTCGTGTCTAGTTGATGTCCGGTAGTGACGTAGCCAGGGGGGGGTCCTGGGGGTCTGGACCCCCCCCCTACCGGTCTTAAATATAATATATTTTTGTTAAATTAAATGTAAAATTATATAATCATATATCATTGACGTTGGGGTTGATTGTTTTCAATGCCAAGAGAGTTAAAAAAACCGTTTTAGGGCCTATATTTTTAAAATTTTTCCCGGATCCCCCTTTTTACCTGGGGCCCCCGGTCGGTCGAACCCCCCTATTTTGAAATCCTGGCTATGTCACTGCAGGCGTCACTGTCGCCGGGCGGTAACGATCGCTATAGTGGCAACGAAATTCAATATCTATTATTTTAGGGGTAATTTCATTATTTGTGCTTTAATGTTTAGTTAAATGACTAGGGGGCGAGTAATTGTTTATGATTAACTAGATAGTTTTATTTGGTTAAACAAGGTTTTCAATGACTGAGAAACAAATTATAAATAAAACATGACCTCTACTAGTGCACCGGACAGAACTAACAATAGCATTGATCCACAGATGATCCATAAGGATGAGAAATCTACTGAGGGAGTGTGTTTTGTGTTTTACCGTATCTATGATTGTAATTAGTACATTGGAACTATAAGAACAGGGGTTGTAATCAAGCCTTTAGCCAAATGAGCTGGTTGATTCCCCTAGTTGGTACCATCCAAAAATTTACAGCATGTTATCTAGCAGAGCGAGCAGAGCTGCCATGACGGTGACAGTGCAACCGCAACCTCATCCACTTGTATTTTAAGTTTGGTGGTGTTGAATTACGTGGTGAGCACTTTTTCACCTCAAATTAGTTGACGAATCTCGAAACTGGAAAATCGATACTTTTACAGCTCGATTGTTTTTAGAATTTGGTACATCGCGATATCGATAGTCCACTCCCACTCCATCCATTCCCGTTCTCCTTTGACTTGTGACTTGACAGTTTGAATTTAATAATGGTAGATCATTAGGAGAGAACATAATTGTAGCGCCTAGGGACGTAATGTCAATTTTTTTAAGAGAATACATAAATTTGTTAATACCTTACGAACAAATTCTTCTTCTGTTTCTATTTATCAGTAGATAGTATAAAATAGGATATAAGATAGGAGATAGGAATAAAATTCAATGTCAACAGTTGAAAAGATTATTGCTAAGGTTATGTTCATCACGGGACCAGAATTTGTTTTAATCAAAACTGAATATATCATCAGATGGAGGCCATTTCTATTACCTAATTTGTATTATTATTGTTAGTATCAACGTATCAACCTAGCTCTTGTAAAAATGCCAAAATGCCTCCTTCCTGAGAGGGAGTGTAATTTACTCTTTTCCTTGCTTAAGACTAATAATTTTAAAGCTTAATGATGAATTAAAAATTACAAAATTATGACCTTGCTCACAGTTCTTAGAAATTTTATTCCTGATTCCTTCATTAATCTTATTTTTTGTCTGGAGGTCGATATGATTATAGTACTCAAGAGAGTATTGAATTGAATGTAACAGTAACTTATTTAGTATCAATTTATTCAGCTCAAGGGGTCTCTTTTAGTTCCATCCAAGCAATGATAAATCATGTTTATTTTCTGGCCAAAAACGTCATTTTTAATGTTTATGATCCATACTGGTATTTTTCTAGTAATCGTGCTTTAAGTCAGTCTCAGTCAAACCAATAAAATTTACTCCGATTCCGATTCGATTACTCTCAAACAATCGAGTGGTAAAAGTATCGATTTTCCAGTTTCGATATTCGTCAACTAATTTGAGGTGAAAAAGTGCTCACCGAATTACGTATGTGATCCATGCGTTATGGTTGACTGGCAGA